CTAGATGGTAAATTTTCAAATCTTTTTATGCCCATCCGTCTTTGAAAGTCTTGTTGGAATATTTGGAGCTCCAACCTTGCTAATGGCTTCTCTCTTTGAATTCTCCACATACCTATTAGCTCCATCTGATGTGTTCATAAATGCTTCTTACTGGCAAGGCTGATATTCCTGATGGGTGATGTTTGCAACCTTCAACTTTAGCAAGCTGCTCAACGTCATCAAATGATTGATTGATGCACTTGTAGCCAACTCAGGTCAGTTTTGTTTTGCAGACAGGGTCACCTTCACTGAATCACCTTGATTTGCTAAACTGCTTATTTGTGTTGCTGTTCAATGAGCAAGTGAGGGATCTCAAAGCAAGTAAATGCGTGACTGAGTGAATGAGTGAGCGGGTGGACTGATGATGAGTGAAAGGTTGGGTTGGTGAGATAAGCAGGTTGATCTCACTTCACAACATTACACTTGGCACCAGTAAATGAGTTTCCCCTTTGATCAGCTTTGCGCTCTTGTAGCCTCCATTGCCGCTGTGCTCCCTGCTGCTCTACCTCTCCCACAGGTAATGAGGGGTGGGGGGGCCCAGGGGCACCAGATCAGAGGACCTGAAAGTGTATACATGTTTGTGAGATACACCAGATGTTTGTGTATGTAAGGGTGGAGACTTGGCTATGATGCCTCTAGGTGAACAACCATTTGGAGAGTGGCTCACACTCAGACACGCTCATGCACACGCAGGCATCTGCTTAGCCAAAAACAAAATTAAAAATGCATCGCACATCAAGCATGGGATGATAAACTTGCCACAACTGTGTTTACCATTGAACCATGAGAGATCTGAGAAGCGCCACTCACACGCAATCATCATCTTGTCAAAACTTCTTGAAGTCCCAGTGTGCACTGCTGCCAAGACCAAAACTGATCAAAACTCTTTTTGTGTTCAAGAGAGCCTCACAATTTGACATCAAAACCACAGCATTGGTTTTGGCATTTCAGAAAGCACCCAAAATCACTTTTTTCATCAAAGTAACACTGTCTTAGCACAACCAAATACACAAATCATCGCATGACACAATCAAGCCGCATCATGTTTTCAGCTGCTGCCAAATGGTGCACTTGCTCTGTTTGATGATTTTTATGATTCTTGCGTCCGTCATACAGCAGAGAATTGAACGTGATAACTAACAAAATTGTCACTTTGCAGCTGTGTGCCCCACCAGGTGAGGCTGCAGTTTAAACACATGTCAATCAGTCTAATGACTTACATAGCCAAGACCCTGAACCTACCTATTAGATGGACACCAAAGATTAGTGTCAGCATGTTCTCCTAGGTTAAAGGAAAACAGAGTGCAGTGAAGATGCGGTCATTGCTATGCTATTTAATCCCTCTATTTGTGTTACATTTTCAAGTAATTAAAAATCTCTGGCCATCAAAATGTAATCAGAAGTGTGAAGAAAATTCTCTCAAGACATTCAACAGATTAATGAAAATTTAATGGGATAGACAGCTTTTTGGGTATATATGCACTCATATGTATATTTTTTCTTTATACAATTATATAGAACTATAGACATATACAAATATTGTTTCTAATGTTGTTTTGTTATGCATTTACCTAATCACCTTATCTTCTCCCTCAAGATCCCCACCCACCCAAAAAAAAAAAGAAACAAAAAGAAAAGAAAAGCAATCTTCATCATGTTGGGTAGCAGGCAGGTTTTGGTGTGAAACCTCATCAGGAAGATTGGTTTGTCTTGTGTTATTAAACACTTTTCACAGGTTCTCTTATGCAAAAGCAAAAATCAAGCGAGCAACATATTTCTTACTATACAGCTGCTGTGCGATGGATAAAGCGGAGGTGCTTCTTGGGTTTTTGCTAAGTTGATAAGAATATCAAAGCCACGTTCATTAAAATTCCACCTGAAGTGGTTTCAATCACACGTTTGCCTTCAAAGTTATTTTGTTTACTAACATTCCTCCATGACTGTGTAAGTTTGCTACAGTAATTACATTATTTCATATATTAGCGTACAGTTTTATTGTATTTTCAGGTGATCATCAAAACTGAGGGAAAACCAGTGATCCAGCTCAAATAAATGAGAATTTTAAAGTTATTCTAGTTCAGAGCGGTGCTGTTTTTGATCAGTGATTAAAAAGAAAAATAAATAAACAAAGCTATAGGATGTAGGTTATCATGACACTGCCTGGTTTATATATTTAATACATCACAGTCAGCTAGCATAACTCTATGCATCAATGCATCTAATAAATAACACCTTAGGGAGTCTGAAGCTCTACTTTTGTTCAAAAATCTATTTTTAATCTATTTTTAATCTTTTAACAACTAGTCTTACACACATATTTTCTGAGTTTCTTTTTGTTTTATACTCTGATAAAGTGACTCAGACTATTCATGGCGTCCTCGCATGTCCCCTAGTTACCACAAGGAAGTGGCTGGAATCTAAAAGATTTCCTTGGTCCATAAACTACCAGCAAACTTGTGACCAGCAGGTTGCTGATGTGAAAGTGACTGAGCACAATTCTACTCATCTTCAACAACAACGATCAAAATGCCCTTGGCCATAACTGCTTTTCTGAGTGTGCTAAAGTGGAGCCATTCAGTGAGCTTGTACTGTGCAACTACTCTGTGTTTGAATAGGATTGTACAGCCCATTCTGCATTAAATTTTCTGCCCTTTTCACAGAAGTTTGAGTTATTTGCAAACATTATATGTGTAAGCAAGATTTTCACAGGAGTGAGAAAACCTTTAGGGTGATATAGAATGGCAGTTCCCTAAATGAATGGCCTTTTAGAATTTCACATTTGACAATGCTCTGTACTCATACTAACATCTTGTCATTGATGAAAAACACCACAGGATTCACGTACTCACATTGCAGGCCTAGTGATAGACTGGCGACCAATCCAGAGTGTACCTGCCTTTCACCCATTTCTTTGTAATTTACAGTCTGGACTGTACAGACAAATAACCAGACCTTACTTGCCTTTTAATAAGCATATCCTACAGGGTACGGCTCTGACTTTGCGTGTACGCATGCACCAAGCAACACTTCAGAGTATCTAGCCTACTTGGAATCTCCAAGTGGTATCATGGTCTTTGGTTATGAGTATATAATTGAGAAATACTTATTTATTCCTCTGCTGACTTTGCATGTTTGCTCACTTCCAAAGACACGATCTCTAATTTTTATTGTAGTTTAATTTTAATGGAGACATATGGAATATCAATCGAGAATCCAGGGGAAAAAATACATTACATATAAGTTATACATTGATTTTTTATGAAAAAAGCATTTTATCCTCAAGAAAAACAAGACTTAGTACTTGGTGGAAAAGCCTTTGTTGGCAAACAGATATGAGATGTTTCTTGCAGTTGGTCACTGTCTCAATCTCACGATGGATTTAGGCACTTTGCAGAATTTCTCTAAATCTTTTAGGTTTCTTGGCTGCTGCTTCTCAATTTGAAGTTCCTGGTATCTCCACAGGTTTTCTATAGGACTGATGTCTCGAGACTGGCTAGGCCACCCTATGATCTAATTGCACTTCTTCTTTAGTCACTCCTTTGCTGGCTTGGCAACAAAGGAATTGCTTTTTGGTCATTGTAAAGCTTGATTTAGACTTCTAAGGGAAATATACATCCAGACTTGCATAGTAACGAGAAACTCCTGCCATCCCTACACTGCAATCTTCCACCCCATTCAAGATAAAGGTATCCGTTGACCTGACATGTAGTTACATTTTATCGCAGGTGCACTTCAGGTTACGTAGAAGGTTGGAGCATGCAGTTAAAATGGGATTCCGGTTATGCTGTAAATTACAACATTCATTTTCTGGCTGAGGAAAAGACGTTTTTATCCATTGGTCACTCGATCCAATTAAGCCAAAAGCCCAAATGCATAGTGTTTCCTCCTCCATGCTTGACTTTGGGGATGGTGCTCTTTGGGTCATACTTGGCATTTCTAGTGCTCCAAAGGCTTCTTGAGCAGGGGGGACTTGCAGGCACTGTAAGTTTCAATCCATTAGCATAGTGTATCATCAGTAATGTTCTTGGTGACTTTGGTCCCAACTGCTTTCAGGTCATTAACAAGCTTGGCCTGTGTAGTTTTGGGCTGATCCACCACCTTTCTCTTAAATCAACCTCACTTGATCAAACCTCATGCAAGATCCTGCATGGAGCGCCAGACAAACATCCATGCTAGAATCCAAGGCATTATCAAACCAGTCACCAAATGTGAGGGCTCCACCAGACCAAGCTAGACACCTTCACAAGGTTAGGCAGGTGTTGTGGCTGATGTGCATATGTTCTTGTTTGATCACAGGTATTTAAAAAATGACAGCCATTGTAGTACTTAGCGATAGTGAGCATAATAGTCTTCAGCTCAACTAAGTTTTGCACTAAAGTCTGTATTGCTTTTCTGCTCTCAAGTTACCCTCTGTGTGTCTGAAGAGCACAGCCCCACTCTCATGCAAACAGACAGTGACAAAGAGAGGAGAGAACGGAACAGAAAAGCAGTCAGACACAAATCAACACTCACAACTGGGTTACAAGTGACATCCCTTGCCTGTATCCGTGCTCCTTACTATCAGACATAATTACTGCCAGAAATTCCATTACTGAAATTAACAATAGTTAAATTTATTTTTGAATAATTTACTGTCCACCAGTTCATTCATAATGGAAATGCCCTTTTTTAAAAAACAAATTTTGTTGTGATTGTAATAACTGTTTAACTAATTCAGCTAAAGAAGTAATCAAAAAAATAAATAAAATGGTACCAATGCAGAAAGCAGAAAGGAAAAGGAAAAGGCAGAGAGTGGGGAAGTGAAATCGCAGAGTGAAGGCTACACAGACTAGAGAGCACAGTATGACAAAAAACAACTGGGGAATACATGTTCGGTGCAAATCAATGCAAATGTGATATAAGTGCTGTAAAAGGGGCTTGTCTGTTGTCTGATCTATATTTGTGATGTGTGAGAAATGTACCTTTACTCCAGAGGATATGTAGGTGGTCCTTATCCAGCGGCTGGTTCAGTATGATCAGACAGATCCTCTGTTTGCCTGAAAAGAACAGACACAAGGAAAAGGGGAAATGTGTAAATAATAAACAATCAGATAGAATAATAATATAATCAGTAACACGTAGCAAAATGGCAACGCTAGAACATGTCATTACTTGCATGTTCAAATTAATACCTTTAAATCCAGACTGGAGACTACTGTTTGTGGCATTGAATATATTTAAAAATAATAATAATAATAAAGCAGCAATAACAAGGTTATTATAAGGCTCCACAAAGGAAAGAAGAAAATAAGAGAGAAGATTAAAAAATGAATTCATTTCAAGCAAGTCTTGGTTTCTTGAGAGATCAAAATTGGTTCCCACTCGATCCAATTAAGCTGCAAAGGGTTTGTTTGCAACAGCAGAAGATAACAAAACCTAACACCACTACAGACAGTGTGCATCCAGCTCAGACAGTGATTTCCCTTGATTATACTGCCTTTAATCTCTTTAATCAGGGTCACAATCAATGTCTGGATACCTACCATTTGTTAAAGAAAAATAAAGAAAATCAGTACCCACACTTGCACGCATTTCATTTTTTGCCATTTAAAATCTTTAACCTTAGTTGCATATCATACATGAAAACAAAGCTAAACCTTTTCTGTCATCCTCATCTCTCTTTCTTATCAGTGTACCTCTACGTTTCTTTGTTAAAGTCTCTCTCGTGGTGTTGCTTTTCATAAACCCATTTCTTCCCTGAAGCTCCCATCAATCTCGCTTTTAGCTTTTCTTTGCTCTGCTGCTAATGCAGATCCCCTGACTAATACTTTAGAATTGTCATTTATCTATCTGCAGGAAATGGGAAAAAATGGAAACATTCATTGACAAAGTAAAAACAGAGCTGCTAGAAAAGCTTTAATGGACCAAAGACTAAAGCACAACCTTTCTTCTCCTCACCATCGCACTTTTCATGCTCATTTATCTTTCGCTCTCATGTCTGCTCTTATAAATGCTTTCCCATCAATGTTTAAGGCTTTCTTTTATAACAAAGCCAAAATGCTATCTGCAACTTGAAACACCACCTTGTGATTACTCTCTCCTAAAGCGAATTTATGTAAATTCCATAACTGCAAAACAAGAAATATCTAGTAAAGCCTATATCCCCAGTTTCCCCAGTATGGAGGAAAAAATGCAAAAGCATAGAAAGAAAATAAATATATATACACTTCAGGTTTCATCATCAATTTCTCACAGCAAAATGTGCATCACCTGGGAAAAAAAAGCTCTTTTTTGGGGGGGGATTTTGGACCCTCAGGTGTAAAAAGTGCATTTAGGCTTGGCTGAGAAAGTGTGGAGAAATAAAATGTCCTTTGGGTTTGTGACTTTGTTGCAGCAGTGGGCTTGATGTTGTTAAAAAGTTCACATCACTAGAAGGTCATTTCCAATCCAAAAGCCAAACCCCAGCCGGCTATGGTAAAAAGTCGAGGAAAGGAAGAGAGGATAAAGAGGCGACACAAAGGAGGGGGGAAAGAGAGGACGATGCACGGGCGGGGGTAGGTGAGGGGGAGAAAGAGGAGGAGAAGATTTGTCAGTCTTGTCTCTTAATTGGCTGGAGGTGTACAGAGAACAAAAGGCAAACTCAACCAGCCGTGACTTTTCAGATAACCCTTCGACACACAAACACTCACCTTCCCACCCCACCCCCCACACACAAACAGACACACACAAGAGGAGGCGCGTGGCCTTTCCTGCACTCCGTTTCAAAGAAATGTCACCTTGGGATTCTCTTAAAAGTGCCAGACAGCATAAATACTACAAACACGCGTGCACACGCGCGCACACACGTACAGAGTATCCAAAACACATAAGCTAGCACAAAGATATTCCAGAAATAAGTATTTATAATTAAAATAATGAAATTTAAAAGGCTAACTGTGCACACTAGGGATTTTAAAATGCAGACATCCAGGGGCTGTTCTTATATCCTCCTCAGAGAGTCTAGATAAGCATTTCCTCCAAGAGATTAAACTAAGGAAGCCATATAAATATATCCTAAAAGTGTATCGCTATACTGTGCACTTGGGTAAAAAAAATAAATAAATAAAAAAAAAATGTATGATGCTGGGAATCTCAGGCACATCTTTCACCTTTAATAGCAAGTGACAAATTTATCCACAAAATTATAACACCGGGGGTGTATGTGATTTGTTGCTTCTGCATCATTCTGCGGATTATTTGCACACCCAGAGAAATCTCTAGCCTAAATCTTGGATTTGTACAGTGAGCAAATGCAACATTGCAGCCTGTAACGCTTATCTAACATGCTTGAGTAAACATTTGTTTCAATGAATGCTTCAAAACTGCTGATAGCTTCCTGACATGAGTGAGTGTCTCTTGACTGATGTCGGTCTCCGTGCGGTACTGATTTTCAAGCTGTACACAAATAGAAAATCAACAGCAGTTCCGTCTTCCTGCGTTGCACAAATAATGCACGTGTGTGAGAATGTCAAGTATATACAAACATACCCTGTGCACACAAGCATGCAGCAAAAGTACGCCTCTGCAGTTGAACAAGATGATTGTAGTGCTTTAGACAACAATAAATGAGATGTGACTCAAATGTGCTTTAATGTAATAAATATTTTGATCAAATATGCTAGATAATTCATTGGAGACCATCGCAAGTTGAAAGAGTGCCTTCAAATTATTTATTTCGTATGTCAATGGCAAAACTACAAACTGGGTCAGTTTAATGGAGAGAAACAGCGAGTACGTGCTGAAAGGCAGAAAGCTGCGAATATGCACTCATTGCCCACTACATTAGCTTCTTAACATGAATATCGAATCAGCTAATCAAGTCAGGCATTCGAGATGACCTGCTGAAGTTCAAACTGAACATCAGAATGAAGAAGAAATGTGACTGAAGGGAGTTTAGACAGTAGAAGTTCATAAAAACACTGCCTGGTCTGGGTCTGATGAGACGCCTGATCACTCCTTAGTATCAAGCGAACATTGTTTAAACACCACAGACTCGTATTGTTGCCAACCAAGTCCATCCCTTAATAACCAGTGTATACCAATCTTCTGATGGATGCTTCCAACAGAATAAGACATCCTGTCACAAAACTCAACTCTACTCAAATGGCCTCCACAATCATCAGATCTCAATCGAATAGAGCACCGAAGGGATGTGGTGGAACGGGAGATTGACATCATGGATGACAAATCTGAAAAATTAAAGCATTTCTGAATCCAAAAGGGGGTCCAATGTGGTACTAGTGAGGTGTACCTAATGAAGTGGCTTGTGAGTGCACAGCTCTTTATCATAAGACACTTTTAAAACAACTTCTGTAAATATCATAATTGTTGTTTTCAGTCATACGCAAGTCAATTAAAGTTAACTTACTAATTACTTTAGCTCAATTGAGTACAAGCTTGAGATTGTGATTGTATTTTATGATCTGATTTAAATCCCTATATTTAGCTCACTCTCAATATAACTGCGAGACAAACTATAAGCATGCAGCTTAATCGTAACATTAGCATTAATAAATGCTCAGCCTAGAGCCAACACAGTAACTGATGAACAGAGGCAAGCAAACAGGTTTTTGTTGTTGTTGTTGCTTTATTCAATTAATATCAACTCATTTATAGCAAACTGTTCCCATGTTCAGTTAAACCTTCATTTCCTTCTGTTTCTTACCTTATTGCTAAGAATTTCACGTTCATACAAAATAAACCCAGTAGCGCTTTTTTGAAAACAGTTCTTGACATCCCAGCTTGTTTTTCTTAGTCCACGTTCTTATTTGGTAATGCATTTTTTACATTCCACTCTATGAACTGTGAGGTATACACAAAAAGAGAGACCAGCAGTATAGCTATCCAAACAGTAGCAGGTTGGAGTAGAGTGGTTAAAAAAAAAAAATGACAACATTTCAAGAAATGACTCCAAGAATGCAACAAATGCCACAGAGCACCAAGACTGATTAAAAGGACGATTTTTCTAGGACTCAGACCTCAGATTCATCTTATCAGTAAAACTACACACAGTGTGTGCCTGTGATAGTTAGATGCCAAGGAATCCAGAAAGAATGAGAAAAGCCAGACCTCAGACAGTGCTCAGCATACCGTGGATATAACATTTTATCATATCTTTCATATCTTTCTGTGGAAGAATAATATTTCTAACCTGGGTCAAATTTTCATAAAATGTATTAACTCACCACCAATGACCCGAAATACAGTGGGGCAAAAAAGTATTTAGTCAGCCACCGATTGTGCAAGTTCCCCCACTTAAAATGATGACAGAGGTCAGTAATTTGCACCAGAGGTACACT